TCGTTAAACGGTAATGTCAATGGAAATAACAATTGGGGTAGCGCGAATGGTAACCTCAGCGGTAATAATAATGTTAAACGATTACAATATATTTAAAAACATTCTATAATTTATTTCCCCTTTTTTAAAATCTTGCATTGTATATAAATTTATTTGCATCAACATCATGCTCTTATTATTCAATCTTGACGTTAACTATAAAAAAAACTGTTAATTTTGGTTTTAATTTTTATTCTTTGTAATATATTTTTCTTTTCCATAAGAAATTAATAAAATAAAGTAAATAATTATTTTTTTTGCGTTGATACAAAAAATTAAATTGTTATTATAATACATACTATGTGAAGAACGGGAGCAAGATGAGCGATAATTAGCGCCATTAAATATAAGTTTGTGATTAGTTAAAACTCATCGTTATTTTCGTTATACATAACACAAGCAAAAATAAGAGCCTGTGATCAGTTTTATTGTTTTTATCAGTTAGTAAAATTATTTATAAATTTCCGATTTATTTTATTTTAAACAATTAGATATTTCTTTGTCCTTCGTTTGAGTCTAAAACCGCAATAATTCTCCTCGGAATTGAATAAAATAACTCTCTAAAATAGTTACATCAAATTTTTTTCCCACTCTCCTTTAACGCCATTTTTAAGTTTAGCCACAGTCTTCGAAAAGCATACTTTTTGATGTTGTTCTTTAACGGCTTCCATTTCAATGGGTTCAGATTTTCGTCCACCTTTAAAGTAGGCACCAACAATCTGCATTAAACTTTTCTCCAGCGTGTCGCCAAATTCTTGATTCTCAGGATAGCTCAACACTGTTCGTAAGAGAATATGATTTTTCTTAGTAATAAATCGATTTATTTTGATTTCTTCGCACTATTAATATGTTTATGTGTTTCTGATGGCCTGGTACGAAATCCCACAATTCCGACAGTTAATAAACATAATATTACGAAGTCATGAACGACATCCCGACTACACATAATCCCGAGATTATATAGCATCTCAAATGCATGGAATACCAAAAATTATAGCGATTACTGAATTTCGTGCATTCGGAATATCGTTCGGGAGTTGTTTATTTGGGATGTCATTCTCTCGGGATTTCGTTTGTCAGGCTTATGAACTGTCGGGATTGTGTTTTTCAGGATTTTGAACGTTACCAGTTTTAGGTTTTTTTGCTGCGATACGTGAATGAAGTCTGGAGCTGTCCAATATATTTCTGGCGGTTGAAAGGCTACAATTTAGACCTAAATTATTCGTAGTAGTATATGCCGGATTTTATTGACTTTGGGGTTTTCATGGTTGCCAAGAACTGGTGGTCTTTCTGAACTGATAAGTTCCTGTTTTTTGTATATGTACTTTGTTAATAGAGCGACATACCGTTGCAGAACACGTGGTGCAAAATCTCGATTTCGCAAAGCTGCTTACTGCTGGACGTCATATTTTACAATAAAATAAATGAAATCGCAAACAAATATTAAGAAAAAGCTGTCAAGTAAATCGTGCGATAGTGTTGTCACCAGAGGAATGTCCAGTTTATTTGGACAGGACTGCAGTCAGAAAAATATGCGATAACTCAACACCTGATGTTCAGGATACATCAAATACATCATTCAATTTGTTCGTAACGATTTATTTTGATGCGATTCTGAAGGCTAGGTGTTGCCGCATGTTAGAATTTCGATGTAAGTTGGTTCACCATGACTAGACGAATCGAATGGTGGTATTTTGGCCACTAGGGCTGACTGAAATTCATTAATTAGGTTTTGGAACCGGATATATTTTTAACATTAAATTCCAGATTATATTCGCCAATTTACATCAAAATTTTAACATATGGTAAATTTTATATAAGATTAGAATTACATGTAAGATTAAATGCACCCTCTACAAATGTTTAGCTATGCTAGTTTTGGATAAATAAACGATAATTGTATAATTGCTTTAATGTTTTATTTGAAATAAATACGTAAAGTTAATAAATTTTAAAATTTCTATTTTCTGTAGATAAGTTTGTTTTTAAAATTTCATATATTGAAGTAAAAATTAAATTTGGTACTTACAGAAGTGTGGTGTGTTTATGGATATTGAAACGGAGTTATGTATTTTAAGTAAAATTTAACATGTTTAATTTGTTTAATAAAAAAAATTGTCTTTGAAAAAAAAAAATGCAAAGAATAATTAAAATAAAAATGCAGGGAAAGGGGATGCAACGAAAAAATTATGCTGGTATGTAATTTTTTTATATCAGTAATCTAAAGAAAATATATGCAAAATAATAAAAGATTAAAATTATCTTGTAGAATGAGGAATTAATGTGAAAATTAAAAATGAAGAAAACCGGATAGTAGAGACGACATATTATGTAAATTCAAAATAGAATAAATTTATGAGAACATGATACCTAATCTCAGAACAGAACAAAACTCGATGTACTTCTCCCGCGTGCTTTAATTGTTCTCGTTAATTAATGCAATAGAACATTACGATGTGGATGATGATGATGATGATGGTGATGAGATAAATCGATTTCAAATTGCGATGGTAATATAGGTTGTTCTTGAAATGTATTATTGTGAGGATAGTATTCTTGCTCATTATGAGGAATAACAGGGTAAGGGTCAAATGTTTCGAGAAGATTAAAGTGATTAATAGTGGGTGACGTGGATGTATCACTTTGATATTGTGGTGGTCGTTCAAATCTTAATGGCGATGTAGATCTTGTGAACTCGGGTACTTGAAAAGTGGGAGGTGAGAATGACCCTGGGGAAGAAGCTTCAAACGATGGACTATTATTAGATGAAGTTTCACTTGTAGTCGTCCATTCCGAAGATTCACCTGACGGTGTTCTGTAATGACCCCAAAATGAATTGTCTACATTACCATGAAATAAATTCGGTGATCCAATAACGACTGCAGATTCATCGTGCATTGTTGATTCGGTAGTTAAATTTGATTTCCTCAAACCTACGACTTTGGAATTTGCAGAAGCTCGTGTTTTCGATGACTTTTGAATTCTACCACCCGTGACGGTTTTCCCAGGCTTCTTTTTCGGGGAAAATTTATAATTTGGATATTTAAGTTGATGCTCTGCTTTTAATTGCTTCGCCTTTTCGCGCCAAGTTTCTTTCACTTCTTCCGATTCTTCATTCCACTTCTGCGCTGCGATAACAGAGACGAGTTTATTATTCATCCCAGGATTGTCTTGCAAGATTTCATGTTGGATATGTTCACGATATGCCATAAAACAATTTTTTGGTCGCGGAATGTGATCGTTCGATTTACGTTTACGCCATGAACTATTATTTTGACTTTGGGCGGATTTGGGTAATGGGATTATAATTGGCTTAGTTGACGAAATTGGAGATCCAACGTCGGCAATATCAGGATTTGCAACTGTGTCTTCTTTGGGCACTAATAGTACTTCATATCCACGTGGAATATGATAGATGTCGTAGTCGGATTTTTTTGAAAGGGCAGGTGCTATTTGACGGAGTTTTGATGGTGAAATTGGACTTATTATTGTAGAATCGGTGTTTTTCGTTGGTATAGTTGATTGTGATGTCGGAGACAATTCAATACAAGTTAAATTTGGTTGCAGCGAATTATTGTTATCATTGTTATTGTGGTCATTGAAATTATTTTCATCATCATTGTTCACATTTGAAGATGAAGTCATTTGAGAGTGAATTTGTGAGTGCATTTTGATGATGTCTGACATCTCAAAGTTTTTACTAGTGGAGATAAAATAGAGATGATTTTAAATGTTTTTTTTTGGTTTACAATGCTATTGCAGTCGTCTGTCCGTCTGTTTTGATCGTGGTCAAACTCGTTTACGTTTTATCAGATTTTTTAGACGTTCCACACACGTTTTTTTCTCTTTTGCTCGTTGTTTTTATTGTTATTTAAATTGCTGCACTCTCAGAGAACAGTCGTTTTCTTTTTCTTCTAAAGCTAATGGCTAATCCTTTTTTTTTTTTGACAAAAGCAAAAGACAAAAATTATGGTGTAGGTTTTTTTTTGTTAAATTAAATACTTGTAGATTTTGACTAATGGAACGATTGCTACAATGTCTAAGAACGTGGAAAAGAGAGACAAACAGCGGTGGTCCATTATATATAAATTCTTGAATTTTGATCGAATATATACATGTATATATGTGCAAATTAATAATAAGATTCTTTATTATAATTTTTTTTGTTGTTGTAGCAAATGTAGTAGACAACGATCTACCCTACCTGCTGTCAATCATCAATTAATTTTAATTCAATTCTTTTTTCCTTCCAAACACCATACTATTGTATACTGTATACCGTATAAGTACTTTTGATTATATTAATGTGCATCAACAAAAAACAAAGAACACAAACAGTTTCAAAGTAGTTGGAATTTGGTGAAAGGTTGCACATTCATTTTTCTCTTCCTGCATATATGCATCTATGCGCACATGGTGTGACGCAAATCCTGTTTCTCCAAGTACCGAAAAATTTTAATCACCAGAGATCTTAAATAATTCTTGCATTAATTCGAGATCTTAAGGTTTATGCGCCACGTTTATTTTTAGCGAGTAAATGAAACAGTATGTAGGAATCTGTGTGCGAGATTGGCATTCGAGTCTGTCGCTTATTATCAGTTTTAGGTAAAAAATTCATTATTGACTATCTCGTGAAAGGTTAAGCTGAACTTTAATTAAAAAAACGTGGCATTTTATTACAGCGTCATTAATATCGGGATACGTACTTGCTCGCGTTCTCATGTCCATGTGGCATACAAGATTTTTAACTTGATTTTAAGTGAAATTAGTAATATTCGGGAGTTGCGATTGATAGTTAATCATATTTTCTGATACATGGCTAAAATAAGTTTCAAAAGCTAATGAGAATAACTATAAATAGTCAAAATGCAATTAGACGCATAAATAAAGGAACTCATGCATTTGAATGATCTTAATCCGGCATTCGTCATTTATCGCTTAAAACTGCTTATTAACCCTATAGTTTTATAGTTGACCAATGACCATATTTAGCTCCCATTGTTTTATACCCGAGTGCGGAGTAATAGCGGTAAGAAATTCTAGTCATGTATATGTACGCGTGGAGGGTTTATTTCTATTGTACCTTCGGTTTTTTGAAATCGTCTATTGAAGATTTGTTTAAAAAAAATCATGCTATGCAGTCTATTCTTAAGGTTGTGTGTATCATGTAAAGTGCAAACCTAAATTTCATAATTCTTTTGGTTTTTTGGCATCCAAGAAAATTTTATGGAAATTTTCGAATTTTCTTCTAATTCATTACCGTTACCTTTTAACCCTATTGTATTTCTCGTTGAAACGATTGTCATATCATGTCATGATACGTCATTTTGATGGTCAATGCATAAAAAAACACGTTCTTACTTGTGTAATAAATTGAATCCAGTTTTCCCCCTTGCATATAATGACGATGAACGATCTAGAGCTTAAGTGACCGAGCGAGGAAGCAAACCTTATTTTTACGGTATTTAAAGTTTGATAACAATGCGAGATATGATAAACTTGAGACAACTCTCATCTTTTTAATGAGCCTTTAATTATTTTTTTAGTAGATAAGCCAAAGTTGACTTTAATTCGATTCTATAGAACTATTTCTAAATCCGCATCGATGTTATTTTCCATATAACACAACATGTATAGTACATTTTGATAAACAAACCAATAATCTAACAAAGTTAATTTTTCAATACGGTATAACGATAATGAAAATATGTAATAACGATTAAAAGAAAAAGGTGCTACGTGCATTATATGTCGTGTACTACCAACTGCAGATCTCTATGTTCTATACAAAGAGAAATATTTTCTTTGTTAAGAAGCCTGGTAATAATTTTACCCTTTGGTTTTTTGGTACAGTCTCTGAGAAATTCTCTTAATACATGTGTACATCGTGTAAGTAAATAAAACCAAACTAGGAAGAAAAAAGTTAAGAAAATCTTTATTGCGATATTGGGTAAAAGTTTTACATGTGTTTACATGTATTTGCCAAATAAGTTTTTTTATTAACGTTAGTACATGTACGTGTAAAAAGAAATGGCAACTTTAAACGTAAAAATAACTGTAACGTTACAAAAATTAATTTACACCGAAATGAAAATAAACAAAGATGTCTTCCGATCGAATCTTTGTGTTTGAATCATTATGACGTTCTTTCGGATATTTGTTTATTCAGCAAAGTTTTCTTGGCTGTGGAAAGAACATTCCGCTTATGTAATAACAAGGAAAACTTTTCAATTTTCACTCGTATAAAGCAGAACTATTTCAAATTAACATAAAAATTTTTCGGAACATGGGTAAATTCTTCGTATAAATTACTGTATTGTGAGCTTCATCATTTAGCCAGTACTAAATATATACAATAATTCTAGACATTATCGTATTTGATGGTTTACGTATTTAGTTATATATTTTAAGCACAAATGATTTTTTTACTGTTTAATTCTTATTAGTAGTAAAATTCTTGACTGTTCAATATAATTAATTTTTCATTAATAGAAACCGTAAATTCAGTCCAACTGAATAAATTTTATTTCTAGGTTGCTTATGTTGCAGACTCGGTAAAAATTAGTTATATTTAATCAGAAAATACAGTTTAACCTCTATATAGTCACAAGTCAATATAAGACTTAACAGAAATACTTATCTATTATCTAAAATCAATAAAGAGTCACGGTATAATAATTTTAACAGTGACAGATCCTCTCCCTTCAAGGTTCATTCAATAGAAGTGATTCTATGATTACTATTTGAAATCTAAGATAGCTTTCTTTTCTCTCTTCTCATATTGTATTATATAATATCTGTGAGTTCTCTAAGATAATGAATAATTTAGGCAAATCAAATAATTCTTTTTTATAAACTTGATTTCCAGATATTAATAAACTGAAATAAATTCTAAAGTATTAACAAAATTGTATTGATTTCAAGAGAAGATAATATTATTCGAATTATGTAATATATCTAAAGATTAATATTACAACTAGTTGCAATCTGGCTATATTATTTATATAATATTACAATTCAAATTTATAATTGAAATTGATAACATAATATTTTATTTATTGTTATAATACTTGTTTTTTATTTTGATATTGCTTTATTTACTATTTTTATAAAAAATAAATTTGATTAAGTATCTAATTTCTTTAAATTCAGAAAAATTAGATTTTATTAATAAAAAAATTTCCTAATCTTTTCTTAAGATTTAATAATCAAAATAATATAAAATTTTTTTAAAAAGATTTTAAATCAACATACAGTGATTTGAAAAAGTTTTTGGACAAATTTAAAAAGCAATTATATAGTAATAGCTAATTGAATTTGCATGAAAATTAATATATATATATATATTTTCATATCTATAAAAAATTTATTCAAAATCATTTATTAAAGAATATTAATTTTATTTTTTTTAGAAAAATTATATATATATTTTATATATAAAAAAGTTCTATGAAATGCTAATTTTAATCATATTTTTCTTTATTATATAGTAAAATTTTTTAAAAAAATAGCATTTTAAGATTTTTATTAAATATATTATTTTTTATTTTTTAATACTAAATATATATAATAAAAATTAAAAGTAATATAATACTTAAATTTTTACTAATTATAATTAGCAAAATATATATTTTTCTTATATATAAAAGTTTTTAATTTTACTAACAATTTTTTTTATTTTTAGCTCAAAAAATACTTAAATTTCTCTAGTTTAAAATATATTTTTTTCAGATTTTTTGGATTTTTTATCAGCAACTTATTTTAATTATATATAAAATCAATCAATTTTATTAAGTTAAACTAGAAAATCTTGGCTATTTTTTAGACTAAAAAATAAAAAATATTTATTAGTAAAATTAAAAACTTTTATATATAAGAAAAAATATATATTTTACTAATTATAATTAGTAAAAAATTTTAAGTATTATATTACTTTTAATTATTATTATATATATAAAATATTTTTTATTATTAAATAATAATTATTTTTTTATAAATTTTTATTTAAATTAAAAAAACTTTTTTAAATTACTATATAATATAATTAATTTAAATAAAAAATAATTATTTATATTATAAGACTTTAAATATATCTTATATATTAGATAGTATTAGTTAGTAATACTATAATAATTTTTGTATCTGAAAAATATATAAAAGGATCTACTCTTCTAATATGAAATAAACAGTTTTGGATTAAATTATTTGGAAAATATAATTTTAAAAATTACTTTTTCTAATTATACTAGTACTCTTTCTTTCACTCAGTTTTATTCTTTTAACTATACAAAGTTGATTTTGATTTAAATTATAACATTATATTGATTTTTAATTTATTTGATATTGTTTTAAGAGTAAAAGATCTCTATTATAATAAGTTATACTTTTTATTTTATTATTTTGAGAGTAGAAAATCTCTACTATAAATAAGTCATACTCTTTTATTTTTATTTAGTTATTTATTTTTTATATTATAGTTTTTATCTTTCTTTAATTATAGCTTTTTTTGATTAGTAGTTTTTACTATTTAATCAATTCAAATTTTGAATTATATTAATTATTAGTAACTTTACTTAGTCAATCTTTATAATTTTTTTTGATTTATTCTTTCTTTCTTTATTATTTTCTTTTTGAAAGATAATATCTGTAGATATTGATACAGATCTTAGAAATATTTGTTATTATTAAAAATTTAGTCTAATTTCTCTCTCTTCACCCTTTAATTATTTCAGTCTCTTCCAATCCTATATTATTAAGATAAAGTCAAGTAAAAATTCACTTACTAATTTATCATAATATATTTTTTTTACTCTCTCTATAAAAAAAATCCTCTTTACACCCCTGATTATATTTATACACTTTTTATATATTTTTTATATTTCTTTTATATTTCTTTCTTTTTTTATTCATAATTAACCAATACTTATATCTTGAGTTTTCATAACTAATTATTATTCTTTTATTAGACTACCAATTAACTATTATCTTGATACATACCAAATTTCTAATATTAATTAATCAAATTACATATCTGTTATTTCAAGAATTAATTCAACTTGATCTTACTAAAATATACATTAGTCAATTGAGATAAAGAATAGTATAACTAGTAAATATCTTTATATTTGATCACATTAATATCCAAGAAGAATAATTGGACTTAATTAAAGAATTTTACTAATAGTTTATCTATCAAGATTTTATCTTTCAATCAAGAATTCCTTTTGTTAATAGTGATATTGATGGATATTATTCTAAAACAAAGAATTCAGAAGACATACTTATTTTTCCAGTATAATATATATTAATCTCAGAACCAAAAGAAAATAGTAATTATTCTAGTTCAGAAGAAAATATTCAAGTCAACTTAGAAGATAATAATTAATTAGAAGAAGAAGAAAATAATTAAATAGCTCAATCAAATAACTTAGATAACTTGATTCAAGCTCTTGAAGTACTTGTTAATTGAATGGCTAATCAGAATATCTGGTCTATGGAAAAGATTATTATTTTTATCAGAAAATATAAAGAAAATAATCAAGATCTAACTGAATGACTTAGAGGCTTTAATATTACTATACAAACTAATAGTATTACAGATATTAGAAAAGTACAATTAGTTAGAGGATATCTAGAAGGTATTGCTATCTTATAATATAATAAAAGAGAAAGAGATAATATTATCTGATTAACTACTTAAAATAATAACCAAGACCAGTTATATAGTTTTAGTTA